ACCGACTGCGCCACCCAGGCGCCCCTAATTTTTATTTTTAGTAAGCTCTACACCCAACATGGGGGTTGAACATATGACCCTGAGATCAAGAATAGCACATTCTACCGACTGAGCCAGCGAGGTACCCCTTTCTAATCATTTTATAAATGCAAAATGGACTGATGGTGCCTTGAATGATATCCTATCATTCCTGTTTTCCAGGCTGCTCTTAACCTCAGGTTTTGGATTAGGGTTTGTTTTTCAAGAGGCTTTCTTTGAACACCTCTGACTAGTACCAGAAAGGAAGAGGGAATTTCCTTGTGTCACAGCCCCCTGCCCCATAAATTGCATAGCACTTATCACACTGTGCTCTTTGAGTTCCCTATTGCAGGTACCCTGTCTGATTCATTTTAGCAGTCCAGTAGTATGTCCCTCTTACCCCTTTCCAGACAGTGGAAGAAGGCATTCGACACAATTCACTGATGATAATTTATTGTAATCTGTTGGCAGCACACAGATATTTAATAAAACCAGGACTATGTTTACATAGAAGTGAGCAACAATACATAGCCATTCTATGGGAACTGTGTGCATTTAATCATCTTCCTCCTCATCACGTTTGAGATGTTTAATCTTCTTCTTGTGCCGCTCAATTTCTTTCTGCAGACGCTCAATCTCCTTTATATGATGACTGATCTCATCTTCATGGTGTTTCTTCAAGGCTGCTAGTTGTTCTCTAGTGCGCGCTCTACAAGGACACAGTGGCTGTGTTTAATCCCAATCCTTCATCCCGCAGAGATCTCTAAGCATAACCCACAATACCTAAGGCAAAGAACAGCAGTCCCAATCCCATGGGAGTCTGGCTGGTCACCCTCTTCTATCCTAAACCCCACCAGTGATAGAATACTCCATCTCGGGATATATCCATCTTTAGGAGATGACCAAATGATTCCATTATCCTGATACCAGTGCCTGAAATTCCATCGTTTGTGAGTTATTCCTTTCAGATTTCTCTTTAGAAAACTCCAGAGTGGTGTGACATTAAGTCCCCGACACCTTACGACAGGAACCACCCAGAGACCAGAATCCCTTTTTTGTGGAAAAAAAGAGCAAAAGGAGGGATGTATGGACAAAGGGGTATTGTTAAAGGACAAATACCCATGTCCTATCTCAATTTATCTAGGGGGCTTTCTTTGCATAGGGAAATGCATGGCTCACTGAAAAGGCCAAAATGAAGGGTAAAGAAAAAAAAGTATTGGCAGTTCAATTTAGGTCTCAAGAAGGGACATTCAAATGTTGCTTTGGCTACATTTGGGCCTCGGTTTTCCTTCACGTAAAATGTGGAGGCCCAATTAGATGGTCCCTAAGGGCTCTGCCTTGGCTCTCTGGTTTGGCATGGTGATAATTTTTTTTTTTTTAACATTTATTCATTTATGAGACACAGAGAGCACAAGCAGGGTAAGGACAGAGAGAGAGAGAGAGGGAGATACAGAATTGAAGCAGGCTCCAAGCTCCGAGCTGTCAGCACAGAGCCTGACGCGGGGCTTAAACTTACAAGCTGTGAGATCATGACCTGAGCCGAAGTTGGACGCTTAACCGACTGAGCCACCCAGGTGCCCCGGTGATAATTTTTTTTCTAAGTTTATTTATTTTGAGAGAGAGAGAGAGACAGGATCCCAAGCAGGCTCCACACTGTCAGTGCGCAGCCGGATGCCAGGCTTGAACCCACAAACTGGGGGATCATGACCTGAGCCAAAAACCAAGAGTCTGATGCTTAACTGAGCCACCCAAGTGCGCCCATGGTGATAATTCTTAAGATTGAGTAAGAAAGGGCAGAAGTGAAAAGATAGACCAAAGGACAAACAGAAGATTAGTTCCAAGCTGCTCCCCACTGGGGGTAGAAGTCAGAAAAGGATAACTAAGGGGTGGGAAAGACTTGCTAGGTTCAGCCTGTTCTCCACTTTTCTGCAGGAGAGAAATCTATCCAGCCCAGACGCTGGGCTGGGCTGGGCTGGGCTAGGCAGGGCAAAAGTCTCCAAGAAGTGCGGGAGGAGGATTCCAACCAAAAGCAGCTGCCACCAGCTCCTGTGACCCACTCACTCTGGCCGAAATGGAGACGAATGAGGGTCTAGAAATGGCTGAGGGTCTGAAGAGTCAGGGAGTTCATCCATGTGGAGGAGAAAAATGAATTTAGAGGGGTTAAGGAGTGGGTGAGGGCCACGGAAAGCAGGCTCAGAAGGTCTGCAAATATTGGGCAGTGGGATCTAGACACTCTTGGAAGAATCTGGAAGCCACTTCTTACGACCAGGGGAGAATTCCCTGGGTGGGCATGGTAAATGATTCAGGAAGAGTTGAGCCACGGTTTGAGAATTCTGGAGACACGCGGATGGAAATGGCATTAGGCCCCCAAAAGGGCCTCTGGACTATTTGGCAGGGGAGCGTCCTATAAGTGGCGACAGTCGTGACCTCAAGTGTGAGGGGTAACTAAGTACAGGTCCTGCGAGTTCCATTGGGGGATGGGCGCCCCTAGGGCACCAGGGAGGGAAGGGTAGGGGGACTGGAAGTCTAAGTAGGATCCGAAGGCTCTGAGAGATCTCGGACTGGATTCGGGGTTCCGTGGGCCTCACCGGAAGTATCGTTCCTCTTCAGCTTGTTCTCTCTTTCCGAAGGCCCCACCGGCCTCCCGGATCGAACCCGCGCGGGAGTCCTCTGACTGCGGAGAGAGACGAGAACATCGGTAAAGGTGCGAAGAGATGGGATCCGCGCTCAGGGATGGGACAACGGATACTCCTGCCAGCGTACCCGTTCGGAGCTGAAGCCTCGGGCCTGCATGGCCCTAACGCCTAACACGCCTAGCCGCACTCGCGCAGCAAACGCCGTGACAGCCATTGTTGTCAGAACCGCACCTCTCCCAGTCCCTGGCGGCGCAGACTCTCAGCGGGCACTAACGACGCTGGGAGCCACGCAGCCAATCTTTTCCATGGAGAGGCGGGACTTACCTAGGAGTAGCAAATAATGAGGTGGAGGGGGAGGGGTTCCTGCAGTTCGCGGCGAATCCTGAGCGAGAGGCGGGCCTATTCTTAGCCAATCTCTGGCAAGGGCTTTGGGGCCAAAGGACAAGAATAATAATGGAGGAGGAACTCAGTCAGAAGTCGGATTTCGAGCTCTTGGACCTATCAGACTGAGTTGTGGCATCCACCCCATACAGCGATTCCAATCCTGAAGTTATTAAACATACAAAGAAAGCCTTCCCTTTCCTGGGCTACTAGCATCAAAAAGATGGCTAATGTAGGGGTTGGGGGGCTATGTCCAGGATGCTCCGACTTAGGGTTGTGGGGAAAAAAATTTTATAAGTATATGTATATGTGTGTATATATATATATATATGTAGTCTCTTAAGAGGTGCTAGTGTTCTTTTCTTGTATTGACATTTCACTCAAGTTGCAGCTTAAATGTCACCTTCTCAGAAACCTTCCCTGACCTCATTAGTCATTTTTTTATAGCTCTGTTTTGTTCTTTCTCTCTCTGTCTTTGCACTTTTCACCATTTGAAGTTATCAGGTCCTGATCAAGTAGGCACTGAATTTAATATTTGTAAAATGCATTAATATGCAATCAAATAGGCTTGATAGCTGGACTTTTGGTAATGTGAAGTAATGAAGTGGAAAAGACCATAAGTAGGAGTCTAGGGAAGGCTTTGCCTTGACCTTCCTAAAGCCATCTAACAAGTGTGAACAAGACCGTAGTAGTTATAGCCTTTTCCGAAGTCATTTTCTCTCTCTGAGTTCAGTTTTTTTCCTCCTTTTAGAGGAGAGGGTTGGGCCAGATTATCTTGTTCGTAATTATAAAAATACCTTCATTACTTTCCATGAAGTTGTGGAACAGTTTTATTGATCATCTTTTGGTTGGAGAAATACCAACCCTGGTTTGTATGACTTAAATGAGAGGAAATAACCTGCAGGGCACATTTTCAAATGTTGATAGCATAAAACTTGGAAAAACACAAAAGCAGAAGGATAGAAATAATAATCACTTATAAGATCACTATGTAGTGGTAATAATTTGTTGTGTTTCTAGATGATATTTAAGTGCCATTCTAGTTTCAGAAACTCTGTTTCTAGTTCTCAGATACTGTTGTTTCTTGATTATGTCCTAGGCTGGGCATCCAACGGAGGGTCTTACTGAACTTGTGCAAAGGATAGTCTAGGTACTATGATGGCTGTAATTAAAAAAAAAAAGGAAAATAACAAGTGTTGGTGAGGATGTGGAGGAAGAGTAATGCTTGTACATTGCTGGTGGGTTCAGCCACTGGGGGAAATAGCTTGGCAGTTGCTCAAAAAGTTAAATACAGAATTACCATAAGACTCAGCAATTTCATTTCTAGGTGTGTACCCTCCCCCGTTGAAACTGAAAACTAGTATTCAAATACATGTACACACATATTCATAGAAGCACCATTTCAGTATAGCTAGAAGATGGAAACAATCCAAATGTTTATCCCTTGATGAGTGAAAATAAATTGGTATATTTACACAGCAGAATATCATTCAACCATAAAAAGTAATGAAATAATGACTCATGCTATACCTTGGATGAATCTTGGGAACATCATGCTAAGTGAAGAAGGCAGATACAAAAGGTCACACATTGTATGATTGCATTTATATAAGATGTCCAGGATAGGTAAATCCATAGAGTCAGAACACAGACTGGTTGATGTAAGGGGTTGAATAGAAAAGGGAATGGGGAGGAACTGCTTGATAGGTGCTAAGTATCCTTCTGGGGTGATGAAAGTGTTTTGGGAGTAGATAGAGGTTGGTGGTTGCACAACACTGTGAGTGTAAAGAGGCACTGAACTGTTCATTTTGATTATATGTTATGTGTATCTCACCTCAATTAAAAAGAGTATTTAGGTTAGAGGTTTCTGTCTTGGGAGCCAGCCCTTTAACAGTCACAAGGAAGGGGGCGGAGCTAGGGAGGCGGGCCTGTAAGAATCACAGGAGGCTGCGCCTGCGCGGGAGAGTCACGTGGTTGCTGGGCCGGGGAAATGGCGGCTCCAGGAGAGAGCGGGGCTTCGGCTGGCGGAGGGAGCACTGAGGAAGCATTTATGACCTTCTACAGTGAGGTGAACACCGAGTGAGGAGTAGTGGCACCGGGGCGACCCCACTCGGTCCTACTTTCCCAGCGGGCAAAGGCAGTGGTCTTCCTGGCCTGGACCGTTGGGCGGTTCCTCCTGTCTGGCCTTCGGGCAGGCAGGGGGGCTCGGGGTGTGTGTGCGCATCTCTGCCTCGTAGCTGCTGGGGGGATCCCTTGGGCATCGAAAAAGGGGCCAGGGTCCGACGTCTGCGGGTAGACGACGATTGTGGCCAACGAAGTGCCTGGGCGCGTGCAGAGGGCCCCAAGTCCGCGGAGTCCGAGGCTGGCAGGGGCTGGCAGAGTCCGGCCTTCTTGGGGGCGACTTAACTTTGCTGGGCCTCATTTTTATTCTGAACGGAAGCACTGGCTACCCTTAGTCCTTTGTAATGAGTTGTATTACTGGTTATTTCTGCCATTCGTGGGCGCCAGGCACTATGCATCATGCCAGGGAGGCATTATCTTTGTTTTACAGATGACAAACCTGAGGTTTAGGGAAGCGAAATAATTTGTTCTGGGTCTTACAGCAGATATCAGCTTGGTATCATGTTAGGATTGGGGGGTCAGTTTGGTGTGAGCCTCACTTATTGTCGCATTTCCAGCACGTACGTCATAGTAATTGCTTGGTAAATATTTGTTGAATAAATGAATGAATAAATGAAAAGCATGCCATTTGGAGTCAGAGGACCTTGGATTGGATTTTTGCAAGGCAGTTGGACTGTGTTTTAATTCTTTCAAGACATTGATTTTGCAGATCTTAGGTTTTTACCTCTGTAAAGCCAGAGTTAATATTAAAACAAGAGTTTTTATGAACGTTAAAGGAGTTAAGGTATAAGAAAAGGTGTCATAACATATAAAGCAGAAAGAAGCATCTTTCTCAGAGTTAAAGCTGAATGGCATGGATTTGAGGAATGGAGTTGCTCCTGTCTAGGCTGTGAGCTGCTCAGAGTTCAGCACCGTGTCACATTCATTTTTTATCTTTGGTATTTGTAACAGTGCTTGTTACATAGTAGATTCTCCACAGTATTAAATTTGAAAACGGAATTAGCATATCCTTTATAGTCTGTCCTTTTGAAATGCCTAATTCACGTGAAAATGTTGATATGCTGGTAGCAAAGTTTATTGACCTCTAAAGACTACTCATCAGTTACACTGGAAATTCTTTCACTTACCATCTCTTAGTTAGAAATAAAAATAAACTAAGAACAATTCTGGCTTCTCTGAATTGAACGAGGGAAAGTACATAAAGGAGGACCCTTCAGTCATCATTCAACCAGTGTTTCTTGAGCACCTGACACGTACAAATGTACTGTTTAGGTGCTGGAGGTATGGTAGTGAACAATAGAAAAATCCTGTCTTAGAGCTTGCATTCTATAGAGAAAGATAAGCAATAAACAAACATGTAAAATATAGTGTCAGGTAGTGATATGTGCTACGAGGAAACATAAGTCTAGGAAAGAAGATGGGGTGAGGAGTGACATGCTATTTTCAAGAAAGTGAAGAGGAAAGATACTGAGAAGGGATGGCTTTTTATGCTACCGAAATTATTTCCAAACTCCTTTTGGCCATAGGAATAATGATGGTATATAACATATAAACATAACCTGATTCATTTCAACTAGCATTCCAATTCTGACAGTGGTACCAAGGGTGTTTTCCTGGCACTACCTAGTGCCTGTTCTCCTTGGTGGTGTTTTGGGTCCGGGATTTTTCTAACTCTATTCGCGTGATAGGTAGGCAGAATTACTTGTCCCTCCCAGATACTTTTTTAATGCTGTTTTTAGTGTATAGTATATTTCAGTGTAATTGTATTTTTCTTAAATAAAAAATTGTAAATTAAGTATGAACAACACTAGTACATCTTCTGTCATAAAGTGGAAGCTCTTTGAAGGTGGTGGCTGTGACTTATTTATGTTTATTTGTGATTCTTATCTTGGAGTCAGACTGTTGGAATTAAAATTCTAGTTTACAAGTTGGGTAGCCAGGAACAGATCAGTTAACCTCTCTAAGTCTCAGTTTTCCTATCTGTAAAATGGGAATAATAGTAGTATCTACTGTATAGGATGGTTGAGAGGAATAAATATATGTAAAGTTTTTACATTGTTAGTATTCAGTGAATGATACCTGTTGTAATTATTCTTCATATGTTCACATGTAGACAGATTTTGCTCAACATGTCAGTAGCTTGTTAAAATGACAATTCAGAGTTTATTATTGAACTTTAGTAATGAAGTTTTTATCTTCCTTCATTTTAGGTCAAACAAATAGAGAAGAGAGATTCAGTTCTAACATCCAAAAATCAGATTGAAAGATTGACCCGTCCTGGTTCCTCCTACTTCAATTTGAACCCATTTGAGGTGAGCTGTTTGATGTTGCTATGGCCTTGTGATGGGAGCTTTTCATAGCTGCAGGCAGACTTACATCAGAACATACACCTTTGTCTTATAGTTGGAACTGAGATTGGCTGGTTTTATTGTGAGCAAAGCATGCGAAGGCAGCATGTTAGGAAAAATGAGATGGTCTGTGACCTGTCAAATATTCTCCATCTTTTACCAACCCTAATATACAGGGCTTTATTTTCAGATGTGAAGGGCTAGCTACCCTTGATAAACTTAGGATCTTTGATTTAGTTTGCTTGTTACAACTTTTCTTTTGTACTGCAGTAAAAAATATGGAAAACCCAGGGTGCCTGGGTGGCTCACTTGGTTAATCATCTGACTCACTTGGTTTTGGCTCAGGTTATGATCTCATGGTTCCTGAGTTTGAGCCCCATGTTGCCATGTTGGCCTGCTTGGTATTCTCTGTCTCCCTGTCTCTGCCCTTCCCCTGCTGTCTCTCTCTCTCTTCCAAAAATAAGTAAACTTAAAAAAACATATCAAATATCCAGCAACCAAAAAATGACCACAGGGTTATAGACAAGCAAATATACTTTCTGGGTCTCCTTTGTTTTATAATTTTAAACTTTTCCTAAATATGAAAGTAAGTCATATTTCTTACAAAGATTTGAAATATAATAAAAGCAAGAATAATCAAGTATAATCCCACCTAAGAGAAATAGCTCCATCTTAATTGTTTATACTTGAACTGTTTTAAAAGTTCTGTTTTGAAACAAGGAGGATAATGTACTTCATGCTATTTTATTTTTAAAAAATTTTTAATTTTATTTTTGAGAGAGAGAGAGTGTGTGCAAGTGGTGGGGAGGGGCAGAAAGAGAGGGAGACACAGAATCCGAAGCAGGCCCAAGGCTCTGAGCTGTCAGCACAAAGCCTGACATGGGGCTCGAACTCATGAACTGGAGATCATGACCTGAGCCAAAGTCGGATGCTTAACCGACTGAGCCACCCATGCCATGCACCCCCTACTTCATGCTATTTTAAATGCTGTACTGTGCAACAACGTGGACAGAACTAGATTATATTATGCTAAGTGAAATAAGTCCATCAGAGAAAGACAAATGTCATATGATTTCCCTCATATGTGGAATTTAAGAAACAAAACAGTTGAACAATGGGAAGCAAAAAAAGATAAAAACAGAGGGGCAGGCAGGCCATAAGAGACCCAAATATGGAAAACAAACTGAGGGTTGCTGGAGGGGTGGGGAGGATGGGCTAAATGGGTGATGGGCGTTAAGGAGGGCACTTGGGATGAGTACTGGGTATTATGTGTAAGTGATGAATCACTAAATTGTACTCCTGAAATCATTATTACACTATATGTTAACTAAATTAAATTAAATTAGATTGAAATAAATAAATAAAATAAATGCTATATTGTTATACAAAATATGTGTATACATTTTTTTTTTTTAATTTTAATGTTTGTTTATTTCTTGAGAGAGACAGAGACAGAGACAGAGCATCAGCAGGGGTGGGGCAGAGAGAGAGGGAGACATAGAATCCGAAGCAGGCTCTAGGCTCTGAGCTGTCAGTACAGAGCCCGACGTGGGGCTCGAACCCATGGACCATGAGATCACAACCTGAGCCGGAGTCAGATGCTTAACTGACTGAGCCACTCAGGTGCCCCCTGTGTATACATTTTTTAAAAAGAAACTTCTACTGTTTTTTTAAAGTTTATTTATTTTTGAGGGTGGAACGGGCAGAGGGAAGGAGACAAGATCTGAAGTGGGCTCTGTGCTGACAGCAGACAGCCCAACTCAGGGCTCGAAGTCACTAACTGAGATCGTGACCTGAGCCGAAGTCGGATGCTTAACTGACTGAGCCACACAGGCACCCTGGTGTACACATTTTTAAAAGTCTCCACAGTTTTTATTTAAAGAATTCCTTTACTGGGATGTTTGGGTGGCTCAGTTAGTTGAGCATCTAACTCTTGATTTCAGCTTAGTTTGTAATCTCAGGATCGTGGGTCAAGCCCCGTGTTAGGCCCCATACTGAGTGTGGAGCCTGCTTAGGATTCTGTCTCTCTCCCCCTGGTGCCCTTTTCCCCTGCTCATATTCTCTGTCTCTGAAAATTAAAAAAATTATTTAATAATTCCTTTATTTTTCTTTATTATAGGATATTTAAACTAGTTTCTAGTTATTCACAATTATAAATAACTTTGACATGAATATTGTTACATCTTATAAAAATAACACTTATTGAGCACCTGTAAACTTTTTTTGTTCCTACTTTTTTTTTTATTGTGGTAAAATATACATAACATCTAATTAACCATTTAACAGTTTTTAGGTGTACATTTCAGGGGCAGTAAGTACATTCAGTGTTGTGCACCCGTCATCATTGTCATCTCTAGAACTTTTTCATCATTCTAAACAGAAACTCCAAACCCATTAAACAATAACTCCCCATTCCTCCTACTCCCAGTCTCTGGTGATTTCTATTCTATTTTCTATCTATCAATTTGCCTATTCTAAGTGCCTCACATAGGTCGAATTGTATAGTATTTGTACTTTTGTGTCTGACTTATTTCATTTAGCATAATGCTTTCAAGGCTCGTCCATTGCTTCTGTTTTTTTGAAGAGTAACAAAATTTTTTTAAGTTTATTGATATGAGAGAGAGGGTGTGCGTGTGTGCAGAGTGTGTGGGGAGGGGCAGAGAGAGAGGGAGAGAGAGAATCCCAAGCAAGTTCCTCACTGTCAGTGCAGAGCCTGACTTGGGGCTTAATCTCATGAATGGTGAGCTCATGACGTGGACTGAAATCAAGAGTCAGATGCTTAACTGACTGAGCCACCTAGGTGCTCCTGAAGAGTAATTTTTAAAGAATTGTTTCATTTTATTTATCTTTTTTTTTAATGTTTATTTTTGAGGGGGGGGTGCGGAGAGAGGAAGGGAGGGGCAGAGAGAGAAGCAGAGGATCCAAAGTAGGCTTTGTACTGACAACAGAGACCCTGATGTAGGACTCAAACTCAGGAACCATGAGATCATGAGCTGAGCCAGATGAAGTTGGATGCTTAAGGACTAAGCCACCCAGGCATCCCAAGAACTGTTTCATTTTAAAACAATTTCAGATTTGTAGAAAGGTTACAAGTACATTATGACGACTTTCTTGGACTGTTTGATACCAAGTTGTTAGTATGATGTTCTTTGCTCTAGAATACTTCAGTGTGTTTTTCCTACAAATGACACTTTCCTACTGAAGCACAATATAACCATCAAAATCAAGAAAGAAACATTGGTACACTGTTACCATGTAGTTCTCAGACCCCATTCAAATTTGCCAGTTGTCTCAATAATGTCCTCTACAGCAAAAGGATCCAGTCAAGAATCAACTGTTATATTTAGTTGTTGTGTCTGTTTAGTCTTTAGTCTGGAACAGTTTCTCAGCCTTTCCTTGACTTTGACGACCTTACCATTTCTGAAGATTACGGGCCAGTTATTTATTAAAAAAAATTTTTTTTTAAATGTTTATTCTTTTTTGAAAGACAGAGACAGAGCACAAGCAGGGGTTGGGCGGAGAAAGAGGGGGACACAGAATCTGAAGCAGGCTCCAGGCTCTGAGCTGTTGGGGCTTGAACCCACGATCTGTGAGGGCTTGAACCCACGATCTGTGAGATCATGACCTGAGCCGAAGTTGGACGCTCAATTGACTGAGCCACCCAGGCGCACCCAGGCCAGTTATATTGTAGCATCTCTCTCAATTTGAGGTTGTTTGATATTTCTTCAGTTGGATTCAGTTTATGCAATGTTGGAATGCAGGAATATCACAGAAGTGATACTGCATTCTTCTCTTGGCAACTTATAAAGTACATGATATTTCCAATATCCCAGGTTTATCCCATTTCTAATGATGCTAACTTGATCACTTGGAGAGGTGCCTGCTGTGTTCATAAGTTACTTTTTTTCCCTTTTGTAATTAGTAAGTATTTTATGGGGAGGCACTTTGAGACAGTGTAAATATTCTCTTATCAAAGTTACAGTTTATTCATTTATTAGTCAGTATAGACTTAGGGTTTCCTATTTTATCCAGTGTGTTGTATTTTGATATTATTTATTTTGTTGCTCAAGTTGTCCCAAATTGGGCCAGTAGGTTATCTTTCAAGCAAGGCCCTATCTTTCTTTTTTTTTTTTCAACGTTTATTTATTTTTGGGACAGAGAGACAGAGCATGAACGGGGGAGGGGCAGAGAGAGAGGGAGACACAGAATCGGAAACAGGCTCCAGGCTCTGAGCCATCAGCCCAGAGCCTGACGTGGGGCTCAAACTCACGGACCGCGAGATCGTGACCTGGCTGAAGTCGGACGCTTAACCGACTGCGCCACCCAGGCGCCCCAAGGCCCTATCTTTCGATATGTTTTCATCATTCTTTGATTACTAGACACTCTTGTACTTTTCCTGACCCAGCCTAAAGTCATTTCAGTGAGGAGCTCCGATTCCTTTTAGTGAAGAATGGTATTTAGAGATAAAGATTTGGGTGCTAGGTGTACTCATTGCTGTTGGGAATGTCACTACTCCAGACCCTATTGGTAGATAGGGCTAAGAAGTGAGTGTATGTGTATGCATGCATATGTGTGTTTGCATGTGTACATACATGTATTTACATCCAATTTCAATCCAACACTACAGGGTTTATTCTAGTTTTTTTTTTTCTTTACATGTTTGTAGTTCCCTTCTCTCATAGTGAGAAATCAGGCTCCCAGCATTTTAAATATGTGTATATTTACTTAATTGGTCGTCCTGTTTACATGTGATCTCCCAGCTGCCATTCCTCACCGTACCTGAGCTTAAAACTCCCATGCCAGGTTACCCTTCCAGGTGGGTGCATTCCTCACCCACCTCTGGCTCCCTGGGACCTCCCTTCATCCCTTTTGGACTCCAGCATCCTCCCCATCAAACAGGCACGTTTCTACCCTGCTCTGGCTTTGACCCTTACGTCAGGCTACCTTCCTCTGAAGACATCCTC